GTTAGGCCAAAAAGGATAGCTATTTTAAATTTTTGGTACACTTTTCAAATTTACATCAGATTAATTAATACGCACATCACAACAGTGAATGTGCATATTTCTACACATTTTCATTAATCATGTGTAAATGTTTAACATGTGTAAACATTGTCAAATGTTTTCATCGTTTGCACATGTCAAAATCATGTGTAAACATTGTCAAATGTTTTCATCTTTGCACATGTCAAAATCATGTGTAAACATTGTCAAATGTTTTCATCTTTTCCTATCTGATAGGTAGAGAATTCTACTTAAGATCTCATTGGTTCATAGTCGCTATGGTTTAGTTATGTCCACATTTAAATCTCAGCTTGGATTGTATCTTCCAGAATTCCCATGAGTTGTGGGAGGGATCCAGGGGGAGGTAATTGAATCATGGGGTCCAGTCTTTCCCATGCTCTTTTCATGATAGTGATTAAGTCTCACGAGATCTGATGGGTTTATCAGGGGTTTGCACTTTTGCTTCCTCCTCATTTTCTCTTGCTGCTGCCATGAGAGAAGTGTCTTTCACCTCTCACCATGATTCTGAGGCCTCCCCAGTCAAGTGGAACTGTAAGTCCAATTGAACCTCTTTTTGTTCCTAGTTTCAGGTATGTCTTTATCAGCAGCATGAAAACAGACTAATACAGTAGTGCTTCGGATATTATGAAGGTTGAAAAAAACCTAAGGGTTAAGTGGTAACTTGTAGATGGCTTTATAATTGCTATTTGAGTATTTTAGATATATATATATACACACACACACACACACACATATATATCTCAACACACTAAAATAATAAAATCTTCATATAATAATATTATCTTATTATATAAGATATATATAATAATAAAATCTTCTTGTTGTAGGCAGATGTCTACCTTATAATCCCTGGACACTAAATATGTTATTTTACATGGCAGGAAGGGATTAAGGTTGAAGATGGAATTAAGGTTGCTGATGGCTGACTTTAAGATAGGAAGATTATCCTGGATTATCCTGGGGGTCCCAGTGTAATCACAAGGGTCCTTAAAGGTGAAAAACGGAGGCAGAAGTGGAGGGCAGAGTGATGCGATGTGAGATGGATTCAATTTGCCATTGCTGCCCTTGAAGATAGAAGAGAAATGCAAACAAGGAATGAGGGCAGCCTCCAGAAGCTGGAAATGGCAAAGAAATAAATTTTATCTTTGATTCTCCAGGAAGGGTTGCGGCCCTGCCAACACCTTCATTTTGGCCCAGTGACACCTGTGTCAGATGTCTGATTTCAAGAATTGTAAAATAATATATTTGTGTTGTTTTAGCCACTAAGTTTGTGAGAGCTTGTTAACACAATATAAATCTAATACAGATAGTAGGGTGGTACACAGATATTGCAAAAAATAGAAAGGGGGGCATGAAATTTGGGAAGCACTGTGGGCTGAGAAGATACTGAGGTACATATGCGTGTCTAGGGGTGTAACTGTCCATGGAAAGTAGGATTAGCTTGGAGGTGGACAGAGTTAGCAATTTCACTTTTCTGCTGAAACTTTCTCTTAACCTAACTACATTATAATAAACCAAAGTTAACTTGAATATGAAGCACCTTCTCTTGCTGGCCGTAAGGCCCACATTAGGAGACTACCATAGCAATATCAAAATCCTTGTTACATTCAACATTGCACCTGCCCATCAATATAATTTCAAGCAATGTTTATCCAATGGTGAAAAGCAACATGCGCATGGTGGAAAATTTCCTAGTTGGAATTCAGAAAACAGGGCATGTTAAAAAGGACTGGCAACCTGCTAATGGACTCCAAGGAAATTCCAGTAAATTGAGATTACATGTATCACCCAAATTATAGAGAAAGAAGGCACCCTGTTCTTCATCTTTTACTTAATGATTGAGGGAAGCCAGGTCACTTTCCTCTCTACACAGGTTCACTTAGTAGGTTAAAGACATGAGCCTAGCTGCTCATCCAAGTATTTAAAGTGGCAAATGGGCCAAGCAAGGTGGCTCACGCCTGTAATCCCAGCATTTTGGGAAGCCAAAGCAGGGGGTTCACTTGAGGTTAGGAGTTTGAGATCAGCCTGGCCAATATGATGAAACCCCATCTCCACTAAAAATAAAAAAAATAGACGAGTATGGTGGCACACGTCTGTTGTTCCCGCTACTTAGGAGGCTGAGGCATGAGAATTGCTTGCGCCTGGGAGGCAGAGGTTGCAGTGAGCTGAGATCGCACCACTGCACTCCAGCCTGGATGACAGAGTGAGACTCCATTTCAAAAAAACAAATAAATAAAATGGCAATTTGCCCACAAAGTGGTTACTTCATGTTTTTGTGTATAGTAGCTATGTGGGCTACCACAAAAAATAATGGGGAGAAAAGGAAGTAGCACTGATAAAGGCAAAACTTTGATTCCTACAAAACAGCAGAGATATAAAGTTCAGACTAACTTACTAACATTGTTGTTCTTTAGAAAGAAAAACTATCTGTATGTAAATACACACACATACACACACATATATATACATACATGTACATACATGTGTATGTGTGTGTATATATGGCAGATAGTATTTTCCAGAGATAGCTTCCATTCTACATTTTTTAATGCTATGTAACCTTGCTATTCTGCCACCAAGAGGTGGAATCTCAATTACCCTACCCTTGAACCTGGGCTTAGCTGGCCTTAGTGGTTGTTTGTAACTACCAGAGTGCAAGAGACATGAACCTGATTACTTCTGAGGCTAGGTAAAAATATAAAATAAAATACAATAAAATTTTTTTTAAAAAACCTTTCACCTGTTCACGTGGAACTAAGTCTCCAGATTTTACCTCCCAGAGAAGCTCCATCTGGGAACCCAGCACCGTGCTATGAGAAGGCTAAGCATAATGGTTTTATGTAACACAGTAGTTTTTAAAAAGCAGAATGTGCATAAGGAACATATACTGCAAAACAGTCAGGGTAGACAAAGATGAGAAAGTATTAGATGTTAAAATAGTGGATCACTGGTGATAGAGGAATTTTGGGAATAGGTAGGGAAGAAGCTGAAGCAGAAAATTCAGTATTTTTCAAAAGGTTTATTGAGAAGAAAAGGAGATTGTTAGCATATACCTGGTGCTCTATTTTTAAAATACTTTTATTTTCGGTTCAGGGGTACATGTGCAGGTTTGTTAAATAGGTAAACTTGTGTCACGGGGGTTTGTTGCACAGACTGTTTCATCATCCGGGTACTACGCCTAGTACCCTACAGTACTTTTTCTGATCCTCTCCTTCCTCCCACCCTCCACTCTCAGGTAGGCCCCAGTGTCTGTTGTTCCCTTCGTGTTCAGGTGTTCTCATCATTTAGCTCCCACTTACAAGTGAGAACAGGTGGTACTGGTTTTCCTGTGTCAGTTTGCTGAGGATAATGGCCTCCACTCCATTTTCCTGCAAAGGACATAATCTCATTCTTTTTTTATGGCTGCATAGTATTCCATGGTGTATATGTACCACATTTTCTTTATCCAGTCTTCCATTGATGGGCATTTATATCTGGTACTTTAAAGCCTTCTTCAGTATGTTGTTGCACAAAGATTACTAATATTTACTAAAGAAAATAATCCACCTTGAAGATGTTATAGTAATTATGGCATTTATGTGATAATATGCTGTTTTTACACAAGATTCCTATATGGGAAAAGACCTATTACCTGAGTTCATTCTAGGAAATAGTTTTGTTGGAATAAAGAGCATTGAATCTAATGTTTTCGATCTTTCTGGCTCCATTTGTGCCAACAAGTTAATTAGCATATTTGGCAGGCTACCAAGATAAGACTCATAACCCTTCCAAAAGTAATACTTACGTTGTGTGTAAATGAAGTGGCCTTGTAAGTACAACTGGACCTAACTCACACTGGAAGGCCTAGCTCCTGTTTCAAAGCTTTATCCAAATGGACAAGATTGAGGGTTGCAAAAGCAAACAACTTGCCCATTTGGGGGGAAAAAAAAGCTGACAAATTCCAAGGTTTAATCTTTCCATTGTTATACCTAAGTCAACCTACATTCCCTTTAACAATGGGACAAGGTCGCTTACCTCAGGGCTTTCAGGGTAGAAGGGGACACAATTATACAAGAAACAACATCTAAGATCATGCCAACAGTAATATACTAAGGGTACGTACAAAAGAGTTGTAGAAACAAATGACAACACAGCTATCACTTTGGGAGCCCCCACCATTTGGCAGACATTTGGCTAAGCACTTTATACATCTCTACAACGATGTGAAGTACGAATACGCCCATTTCACAGACCAGGAAACTGACCCGTGGAAGATGCCCAAAATGGTACAGTTAAAGAACCACATTTAGTCCCAGTGATGCTGGGAAGCGTCCTACTGTAATAAGAAAAATGCAGGTTTTGTAATCATCAAGACTGAGGTTAAAATCTGACCCGAGGTCAGTTAATGTTGTTGTCTCCTGCCAGTCTCTCACCCTTGACAATAAAAAGAACTGTCTAAAAACTCTGCGTCCCTCGAGGCAGGGTCCCTGTCCTGGTCTCACTTGGAAGAGATTCCCTGCAATCTCCAGACTGCCCAGCAGGTGGCCCCATCACTTCCAAATCCCCGCCCCACACTTCATCAAGCCTCCTGGCTGCCGCCTCTTCAACACCACATCATCATGCGCCTCCGTAGCACAGGATCGTGGTCTAGCGCACTGCCTGGGGTGCAAAAGTGATTACATCTCCGGCTGACTGGACACCTGCCAGGCAGATCCAGCGCGGCCTCCGGAATCTCAGCGGCCCAAGCACCTGCCAAAATGAGGACGTCACGGACCCGCCACCTTCCTGGGCCAATGGGTGACCGGTCCTCTCCTGAGGAGTATCTGCCAGGCAAAAGCAATCGATCCACGGTAACATATTGCGGGTCCAGCCGGAAATTGGAACGTCAGCGTTTTCATTCCGGAACGCCAGCGTGTAGTTGAGATTTAGGGACTTGAATCAGGTTCCCTGTCACCATCCAATTGATATGGAAACCGGTTCTTCTTTTCTAACGTCTTCTCAGAACACTCCATGGCACAGAACCACTGGATAAAATCAGCTAAGGAAAAAAGGTACTTTGAAGTTAGTACTCTAGCCTCTATGGCTATTTGTCAGATGGGAAGTTTGGCAAATTAATAAAAGCTGTTTATAAAAATGCAAGGAAAGGTTAGGTTGAACCTTGATCATAAAACATACTGTCTTGCTATCATTGAACCATTAATGCAAATGCTTACACTAAAGCCGGGCACTGTGGTTCACGCCTGAAGTCCTAACACTCTGGGAGACCTAGGTGGGTGGATTACCTGAGGTCAGGAGTTCTAGACCAAACTGGCCAACATGGCGAAACTCCGTCTCTACTAAAAATACAAAAATTAGCCGGGTGTGGTGGTGCACGCCTGTAATCTCAGCCCTTTGGGAGGCTGAGGCACAGCCTCAGGAGGTGGAGGTTGCAGTGAGTTCAGGTCAGGCCACTGCAGTCCAACCTGGGCGACAGAGCGAGACTCCACCTCAAAAAAAAAAAAAAAAAAAAGAGAGAAAGAAAAAACAAAACAACAACAATGAATGCTTACACTTAGAGACAGTTTGTCATCTTCGTCTAGGAATGCCTATTTTCCACTCATTCAACGAACATACAGCCCACCTTGTGCCCTATCGTTGGAAGGCTTTAGGAATACCGAGATGAAAAGATATGAGCCCTGCCTTAAAGAATCTAGTAATCTAATGGGCATCCGAATGAACGTGTGTCTACAGTGTTAGGTTAGGAAACAGCCCAGACACATGCCATTTTCCAGGGGGAGTCAGAGCCTCACCTATGATTTGGGGTGACAATCATATAGAGTGCAAGTGACATATTTACCACACTGTATCCCTGAAATCTTTTCATCTGTCCCAGCTCCTCTATTGCCACTGAAAGATATCTATTTTAATCCCTTGTCTTTCCACCTATTAGGGTATCCCCCCATTGAGTCTCCAGAGGAGGGACTCCTAATCTCTATGCCCATGATTTACAGGGTCAAAACAGAGAAAAAAGAAAGAAACTTCATTGTGATTCTCAAATCTACCTTTGACACTGCTGAAAGTTACCTAAGAGATATAAATAATTATGGGATTCTTCTGCTTTTGCCTGAAAGTGTTCACTCTGATTTTCTTAGCAAGGAATTTAAGACCCTTTGTTATATGACGTTGATCTGCCTTTCTGCCACTGTTCCCCCATTAACTTCATATTCCATCCTAGAGAAGACAACATTTCCTGAGTATACCATAATTTCCACAACTTCAAAATGCAGCTGTAGTGAAATCCGGTTCATGACGTTTTTCCCCATTCTTCAGACAATGTAAATTACTCTCTCCTCAGAGCCTTTGACTCCTATATCTAGAAAAGCACTTATAGTCTATAAACACTTTTAATGTATAAATTGGTGCTTTGACTAAAGTATAAGCAATATGAAGACAGGAAGGAATCTTCCTCTTTGAATCCCCAGCATCTAGAAAAGTCCCTGGCACATGGCAAGTGTTTGATAAATGTCCTTTGAGTGAATGATGATATAGATTATTTTAATAAAAGTGTTCTGTGCCAGTGCCTTGATCAAGTTGGTACTGTGAATGAGTTTTGAGGTATATTTTGCTTGTTGGAAAGTAGTTTCTTTCCTGTTTAGGAAAAAAAGCAGCTGGAATTAGCCAAAAAAAAAAAAAGGTGAACTGAGGTGTTAAGGCCTCTGGCTCTGTGTTGCCCACTAGAGGAGCCTATACTCTGCCAAGTGGGGCCTGTTTAACATCCTTGGAGTGGCTCTCTTGAAGTAGGTACACTTTCTAGGGCACAAAAATGGACAATCACTGCACAAAAGCTTATTACACATTGGGAAACATTTCTGGAATTTCTGCATGGGATTGTTCAAAACAAACCTCTCCATAGCTGACTCGCTAGCCATTTGTTTGTTCGTTTGTTTGTTTTTAGTGAAAGCAAATTCGTTAGAAAAGTAAAGGAATAAAGAATGGTTACTCCATAGGCAGAGCAGCCCCTAGCTGGTTTTAAACTTTCCTTCTTTTGCTGCTTGTGACACATCTCCATATTTCATTTGTTCGTTTCCTTTTCTAGATGTGAAATGTAAGATCATCTGAAGGGCAGCTTTGGTTCAAGTCAAATGCATGCCTCAACTTGGCAGAGTCAAAGAGATACTTGTATGATGTAAGTCAGATTATATCATTCTTCTGCTCAAAACTCCCCAGTAAATAGCTCACCATTCTCTTCAGAGAAAAGTCAAAAGACTTAAAATGGCCAACAAAACCTATCATCTGTGCCCCACTCCTCCCTCTACCTCACTTCATCTCTCTCCCTGACTCATTTGCTTTCAGTCCTCCTTGCCTGGTACGTTCCTTCAGTTACACTCCCATTTCAGGTCCTTTGCACTGATTGTTTCCTCTGCCTGGAGCCCACTTGCCCCAGCTTTGTACATGGCTACCTCGCTTACTTTCTTCAGGTGCTTGCTAAAATACCACCCTCTCAATGAGGCCTACCCTGAGCACCCTATTTAAAATTGTAACCTGCTGTTCCCTCCCCCTACAAACTCTCATATTTCATCATCTTTCTTTAGTTTTTGTTGTAACACTTATCACTTTCTAATATACCATAGAATTTACTTATTTACATATTTATTGCTTAATGTCTATATCTGTCTTTGAGAATATAAGGCCCATGAAGTCAGGGATCTTTTTCTGTTCTTAACATTGCTGTATTCCAAATGGGAGACTGTTGCTTGGCTCATTGTAATCGCTCAGTTAATAGCTGTCACATTAATTAATCCTTGCCATCTCTTCTGTGCTGGAATTTGTCCGTGATAGAAACCTCCTGATCTGCCAGACTAGTGTTGTCCTAATATTTTATTCAGTCCAGAATCTGTAATGATTTTATTGCCAATAAAGCATTTGAAAGGAAAATAAATCTTGGGTCCCCAAATCACTAATACAACTCCTCTTTTTTTTGAGTTTTACTTGCTTCCAACAAGGAAGGCAAGATTTCCTGTTTCCATGATGATGGAAGGCAGATAATTCCTTTATGGACTTTGAGCTCCCTTCTGACAGGGAAGATGAGGTTTTTTCCCTGCTTCTAAGATGGTAGAGAGCAGTCTACAGCCTGAGACCCATCCCTAGGTAAGTACCTGAATTAGGGTTTGTCTTGGTTAAATTTAAGACTAACAACCAGCTAGTCTCAATTTCTCCTTACCATTAGAGCACTCAGTGATCTTCTAAGTTGCACCATCATTTGTTTTGCTTAACTGTTTTTGTGTTGTTTTGGTCTTTTTTCCCATTGGGTTTGATCAACTCTATCTGACTTTGTCAAATCCAAAGGAGATTCCAAATTATAGGGAAGAAGGCCTCTGAAGTGGCTAAATTCCCATACACACACAAAAAGGTGGTATGGTGGGGGAGAAAAATGGCCAACCGAGGAAAACAAAAAGAGGAAAGGTTTTTTATTTTGACTACTAAAGAGGCTTTATTTACATAATGAGGCCACCTTTTTGCTAGCCAGGACAAACTGAAATGGATATTACCCCATACTGCAGTTTGATAGCTAAGGTTCTGCCTTCTCTTTTTTTCCACCACGATAGCCTGGGTTTGGTTCCTAAATCAAACCCTTTCTGGTTTGATACTTGGTACTGCTGAAATAGCAGCAGTTTGTCCTAGCTGGAATATAGTAATGAAATTTTAAAAATTTTTTTAAAGGAGCTCAGTGGTTACAAGTCATCTTAATTAAAAGCTAGTGTGTGTGTGTGTGTGTGTGTGTGTGTGTATTTAAAAGGCCTTCATGGGTGTTTTTTTTTTTTGTCCTCCTAAGACCCTGTCTTATTTTTGAGCAAAAGTTTTTTTCCTCTCAGTTGAATGAATTTTGTTTTCTTCATTAATAGCTATTGCAACAGAGGCTACTCTGGGGTTTTTAAGGAAGGGTCTAATTTAGATACTTTGAAATGTCTTTGTTAAAAAAACTTTTTTAAGTGTACTGTAAAAGCATCACATGGTCTAACCTCAAAATAATTCCTCTGCCCAGAGCTCAGAGATCTGGTTAAAAAATAGATAGTTCCTATCTAAATAAAATTGGTCTCCTTATACAATCCTATTATAGATTTCTATAATTTTATGTTTGATTTGGCATTCATCTTTAATCTCCCTCTAGCACCACCAGAATTTTTCTCTCTGTACCTTATGATGTAAATTTTGCTATTTGATTTTCACCTGAGTTGTTTCCTTTAATATGCAAATTTAAGACTTTTTATCTGACAACTGCCTTGAGTTGTGAAACAGGTTATCAAGAATCTGAAAGTCTAAGATGGAGGGAAAAAGGTCTTTATTAATCTATAAGATGTACTTCTATCAGCATGCCTAATACATCTATGTATTTATGTGTTGTGTACACAATATTTCACAACTGAAAATATATGAGAGCTCTAATTAATTGGTTAAATAAAAATAAAAGCACTTAAATACTTTATCAGAGAAAGGAAAGACTAGTCAAATGCTTTTTCAAGTTTATGTGATTTAAATAAAATCATTAATAAATAAGTTAGCTTTAAAATTATTGGTAAAGTAGTATTAGGAATGTCTTAAGAATTATCAGCATACATTTTTATTTGCATTTATTAATCAAGCAGTTTCATACTTATCCCTGCCAAATACTATAAGGTGTCAGAATTTGGCACAGGGGTTACAAAACTATAAACCTAGCCTAATACAGATTAATCTTTGCTTGTGTGATCTTTAATAAATAAGACATTGATATTGACTTAATGAAAATAACTATATCTTGAATTATTTAGTAAAACTAACATACCTTCTAATCTTGTGGCTATAGGCAGTATAGTCCACAGGCAGTAAGGAGATTTGTTTTGGGAAAGGACTGTTATCACCATTGTTTCAAAGCTAAACTATAAACTAAGTTCCTCCCAAAGTCCAGGAATGAATAAGGACCAGCTTGGAGGTTAGAAGCAAGATAGAGTCAGTTAGTTCATATATTTTTCACTGCCTCAGTTAGAATTTTGTAATGGCAAGTTTCATAACTTTAAATGATGAGTATCATAGTTTTCATAAATAATCTAGGTAAATGAATAAAATTAAATAATTAGGTAAATATAATGAGATAAATACTTGTAGACAAATGTCATGATTTAGAATCTAAAATTAAATTAAATGATAGATATTTCATTATTTGGGTATTTTCCAATAAAAATATATTGTAGGAAAACATTCTTTCTAAAAAAAGTGTCCTTTTTAAAAAGGTGAACAATTTTTGTCTAATTAAAAGCTTATTTAAAAGTTACGTATAAAACAAGGTAAAGGAACCAGGAAATAGGAGAAATGTAAAGAAAGGTATAGAGATAAAGAGGTATTTTTTTTGTAAGAAAGCTTAAAGAGAAATAATTTTACGTGAGAAAGGATTGAAGCCACCTTTGTAAAAATCATAACTGAGAAAATTATGACAGTGAAAGATATCAGACCTAACTGATCCCATCTTGCTTCTAACCTCTAAACTGTCCTTATTTATTCCTGGGCATAGGCCAAACTAGCTTTGGGAAGGGATTTAGTGTATAGTTTATATAATAGTCCTCCCTAAAAGGCTAAACTGTTCTTGTAAAACAAATGAAAGGCCACCAGCCACCAAGTCAAGATGAGAGGGGCTGGAATTCTAAATATTACCTGCCATTACTCCACAGGTCATAAGATTTGCAACTTCCCCAGTTACTCTGAAGGTAATGTAACTATTGTGAACCTAAGATCATCCTTTTGAGATGTCTTTTCAGGGTTTTGCATTTTTAACAAACAGATGGCCCCACCTGGACATGCCAACCAGTTCTGTGGCTCCCACCCAGGAACTGACTCAGCAGATAAGAACCACCTGGACTCCCTATGATTTCATACCCAAGCCAAACAATCAGCACTCCCAATTCACTGCCCCCGCCCCTCCACCCCACCAAATTATCTTTAAAAACACCAATACCAGAGTTTTCAGGGAGACTGATTTAAGTAATAATAAAATTCTGGTCTCCTGCACAGCCAGCTCTGCATGAATTACTCTTTATTGCAATTGCCCTGTCTTGATAAATTGACTCTGTCTAGGCAGCAGATAAAGTGGACCCCTTGGGCAGTTACAGAATCTTGTATGGTAAATTTAGACCTAGAATAAAATGGCTGGTTGTTTAAGAAAGAGGAATGTTCAGGACAAACCAGAAAGTCCAAACATGTCATTAATGGTCTGTGTAAGTCACAATAAAAGGTTTTATTGTAAAAAAAAAAAAACTTTTATATGATCAAGTTACCTATAAGTAAAGGGCAATTATAATGGTCTTTCTAAAGATTGGGCTTGATGTAAAAAAAAACTTGTACACTAAAGAATTGATTAGAACAATAAAATTTTCTAAAGGGATTGATTCACTCTTAATAAATTATAAGAGATTTTAATTTTTTAACCCAAAGTTCAACAATTTACTGCATCTCACTGTTTTTGGTTTTCTCTCCCCTTTTAAAAGGCATGAAATAATAACACTCTCCTTGAACTCATTTTCAGCTCATATTTTTTTTTCTTCAAGTTCTGTTTGTTGTGGCCTGATGCTAACAATACTTTCTTAAAGATGTAAAGGAAATGTTTTCTTACAAAATGATATTTGGTACATTGCAGAAGGTCTTTTCTTTTGCCTTTTGGTAACTGGCCTAACAGATTTTACATCTTACTAAAATAATTCCTATATCATTATTATTACAGTTTTGGTTTGCTTAGGAAAAAAACAGATTTAAATTTTTTTAAAATTGAGGTTATTACATCCATGTATCCTTCTGTATGTGATTTTAAAGTACTTGTGACATTAAGTTACAAGGCTTTGACGCTTGGGTCTAAAAAGGACACCAAGTCTTACTAAATTTATTTATTTTTTGCCTTTTTCTAAAATTATACTTTAAGTTCTAGGGTACATGTACACAATGTACAGGTTTGTTACATATATATACATGTGCCATGTTGGTGTGCTGCACCCATTAACTCGTCATTTACCTTAGGTATTTCCCCTAATGCTATCCTTCCCCCCTCACCCCACCCCACGTCAGGCACCGGTGTGTGATGTTCCCCACCCTGTGTCCAAATGTTCTCATTGTTCAATTCCCACCTATCAGTGAGAACATGCAGTGTTTGGTTTTCTGTCATTGCGATAGTTTGCTCTAAATGATGGTTTCCAGCTTCATCCATGTCCCTACAAAGGACATGAACTCATCCTTTTTTATGGCTGCATAGTATTCCATGGTGTATATGTGCCACATTTTCTTAATCGTCTGCTTGAGAGGTCCTTCACCGATCCTTGTAGAGTTGCCGCGGATTCATAGGTATCGTGTATTGTTTTTTTTTTTTTTTTTTGGTGTGAACTCGCAGATTGGGGCGGCTAGTGGTGATATGGGGGTCCACTCCGATGATTTGGCTGTCTTGTTGTGGTGCTACGTGCTTATTGGGTGTATAGAAGTGGCTTCGGATGATATTTGCACATTGGTTTTGTCGTCACTGAGACTTGCTGAAAGTGGCTTATCAAGCTTAAGGAGATTTTTGGCCTGGCATGATGAGGGTTATTTCTGTAAGTATCCGAGATTATTGTCATCTGCAATAGGAACAATTTGGTTTCCTCTGTGTTCCTAATCGAATCCCGCTTTATTTCTTTTCCTACCTGATGTGCCCTTGGCCGAACTTCCGAACCACTATTGTTGAATAG